GAGCAAAGGGGGAAAAAAAAGTAAAATCTGGAATGATGGGAAATTAACATGTAAGTGAATTCTATGGAGAGTTAGACAGCCAGGGATGCCAGGAGAGACGAAATGGCGGTGATAGACTGTTATTAATATTTAGGTGATGCAGAAAATGACTACAAATCACATTTATGGATTTGGCAGACTTCTTCCACAGTGATAGGCGTTTATTTTTTCAGGATATGTGTTAGCTGGGGATTGAACTCACTGTGTTGTTATTCCTACAGTGGAGCTTTACAAGTTGAGCTAGGAACCACAAAATATGAGTGTTTCTTCTGATGTGGACATTTTTGGCCGTGTAACTTTGAGAAAATAAACATTTTAGGTGCACATTTTACGCTTTCATTATTTTATTTTACTTTGCCATTAACAATGTCCAACAATGTATAAACACATCACTAAGGAATTCTGTAATTTTATCACTTTTTCTGGAAGTCATGAAAATTTCCACTACATTTCAAATGATGTGTTGTGTTTAACAGTATTCTGTAATGGAAATTTACTAGCTAAATTTTAAGCTAATTTAGCATTTTAACATTTTATGTTTCCTAAATGTACACAAAACTATTTCACCTTTTTTGACAAAATGACATCTTGATCTGACATAACACACAATAAAAATGTTATGGTCGCACAACCATCATTTATGTGCACAGACCCAAACACGCAGGCAATAATATGACTCTTTGTATCTGCAAGTCTATTTAAGTATTATGCTTCTGGCTGACTTTCAGCTGTCAGGAGCAGTGTTGCCAATTTAGCTACTTTGTAGCTAGATTTAGCGACTTCCCCGCCCCTTTTGAGACTTTTTTAAAAAGTTTAGGGACAAATATAGCAACTGCTTGGACAAACCTTATCTAAGTTCTCATCTTGCCCACTGATCTACGTTCATCTTTATATAGATCAGTGAATTTGCCATTGTGATGTCATCTAGTGACATTTAGCTACCAGTTTTAGCTACTTTCAATTGAAAGCAGTTGGCAACACTGGTCAGGAGGGCTGACCTTGTTTTGGCAGTTACACAGTGCACATTCTAACAAATTCATGCGCAAGCCCAAAAAACCTGAAGTGATGGCCTAACTCTGAGGCACAATGGCATACAGAGATCTTCATTGTTTTGGTGCATTATCAGCAGGTCACACTTCTGCTATTAAGCCCATCAGGAGTGCAACCTGGAGAAGGCTGCTGATTACCACTGCACCCTTTCTGTGCAATCATGTAGATGCTTGTGCTTATGTTCCTTGCATGTGTGTTGGGCAGGAGTTCATATCCAGTGGGGTCCGAAAAATGTGAGACCACATAAAAAAAATCTAGAAATAAACAAAGTTTAGGACTAATATAAAACAAAGAGCATCTGTGATGTAAAATTAAGCAATATTTTACCATAGTTTTTGTCAAATTTGATCAAATCATACTGGAGATATGTATGCTGTCAGTGATGCATAATTGTCCAGGCAGGTTCATTTTATGACAGTTAATGTGTTTTTGACCACTGGTGTGTATCTTTCTGTTCTCTGCAGGCATCTTCTTTTCCATGCCTCCTGGCTGGGCACCATTGTCATGCAACTTTCCCAAAATGTGCTTGTGTCATTTGAACTGAATTTGCACCTTATTACTGTCCACTATCTGTCAGAGAGTGACAGGCTCAGCAGAAATGTTTTGGCTTGCAAAAAACTTTTCGTTGTCTGTTGACAAGGAAACTGAAAAGAGGTTGTCTATTAGTCTTGTGTAGCCAGACTTTAACTAGGTTTATCTGAAATAATTGATACTGTAATAGTAAATCTGTTTGGAAAACACCCATTCAAATGAATTCACAGCAGAAGTCATGGAAATGTGAATCAGTATTAAAATAATCATTATTCTAATCTGTTAGGGTTATGAACTTTAGTGTTGTCTTTTTCTGTTACGTCTGCCTGTTCCTGTTTTCCCCTAAATGGTTTTGTTCCTGTTCGGTTTAAACTCTTTAGTTGCTCATTAGTCATTATTAGTTAACGCCCATCACCTGTTTGCTCCTCGTCAGCTGCCCTATTTAAAGTCTCCTTTCTGTTCAGTTTATGGTTGGTTATTGTTTAGAGTCACATAGGTTTCTGTCACCCGGTGTTTTTACCATTCCTGTATCTTGTGGACTATAATTAAATACATATTTGTGGATTACCCTAGTCTTCATTGCCTTCCCCGGTGGATCCGTGACATAATCAATATTTTTATAATTTTAATTGTTAAAGTAATGATTAAAATTGAATCTCTTAAACTGGATTTAAATAAATCATGGTGGGAAA